CCACTGTACGATTATTTTCGGAACAATCCTCAAAAACGATTGGCGCTGAGAGGTCTAAAGCAGGGTGGTCTGCATCAAGAAAGATGGGTTCCGTAACGGTACATGCCAGAGTTGCAGCTTCGTTAGACAGAACAAGGTCTAGAAAGCGAGCGTTCCTATTCAATACACCATTGATCTGCGTGAAGCCAGGTAAAGCGAAACCGTCGATAAGCGTTGATCTAGCAGCCGATAGAACCGATTGAGACTCAACCTGGAAAGACTCATCGTACGACTTACTCCACCGGAGCATGGATATGGTGTACCCACAAGTTATTTCAACGCCCGGTCGATGTCTTCTACGGTGTCAAGCGGTGATGCTTCTGTCAACCACACGCCCAAAATGCACCCAGTTGACGTGGTGGTAGCAACAATCAATACGAAACTAACGATTTTAAATTGGCTCACCACTTTAGTAGCCTATTGGTCCCAAGCAAACGATTAACGTACCCTATTCTAGTTGAAATTCTATTACTACACTATGTTTGTTTTGATTCGCTATGAAAGTTTGACAGATAACATCAGGGGTGTGTGGATTCATGCAGAACATGCAGGGGTGAGTGAAATAGCTTGGGACTGCTTGGGACCGTTGTTCTGGTACTGAGTGAGCCAAAAATAATAATGATTTTCTTCGGGACCCAGTGATCTTAGAGTTACCTCTATGGTGGTAGTCTTTGCGTAGGCTTGGAGCAGGAGCCACGTTGATGTCGACTTCAGCTACTACCAGTTGGTGGTCGGAGCTGAGATCATTGATGGCCTCGGGTTGGATACTCCGGTGTTCATGAGGAAAAGCCCAGCGTGGATGGATTTTCCGCCGGAGAGGTATAAGTTGGTTCGTCGGAAACCGTACGGTGCACAGTCCGTGTTGAAAGTAGTCGAATAGCAGACGTCCGTTTTGGTTCCGCTGGTAGTTCCTCGCAGTTTCGTGGCGATTGTTCAGGTTGCCCCCAACGACGAATCTGGAGCTATTACGAGTCACCGGACTTTAGGTGGGTCGATGATGTGTTTGCGGAGGAAGTCGGAAAGCTCAATCTGATTTGCTCTTACAGAGCAAGCGCTCTAGGTAGCGACAGTTAGCAGTTTAGACGCCATTCTGAGTGATGAACTTACCGAGAACTTGGAACTTCCCCGGTTTACTGCGGCACCTACGAAGAGCACTGGTCACGTTTTTGACGAAAATCTCCATCAGTTGTCCGCTGAGAACAAATCGGGATTATTTGTTTGAGCTGTTGGTGGTCTCCTGAATCCAGGGGGATGGAGAGCTTTGTTCAGCAGAAGATCCAGACCTTTCTTGAGGGGGAGCGGATCGCATCCGTGGATTCGCTTGTCCACGAAGAGGCGGAAAGTCCTCCGCCGTGAAAGCCGGGGCCTCATCCTTCTTTCGTCCAGTACAGCAGGCGTATTTAAGGTTAGCGAGCCAGAGACGGAGTAGCACGGATGAATTCTGAATTCTAAATAGCTATCAGTTTAAAGAGAAATGAATGCTTCCTTAACCGTTACCATCATTATTCACTAAGTTTTGCAAACATTTAATTTAATCAAATTTTAGAATACAAAACGCTGCTAAAGAGTGCCGGTCTTACTTCATAAGGATGACGGTCTTACACCGCACTCTGTTATGAGTACGTCGATTTATTTCACTTTTTAGTAATAAACAGAAATTAACAAAATAAATATTCAAACCTTACTTACCTTACCAATCAGACTAAGGCCTGTCTGAAGAAGTCGTCTCCACTCTACTCGATCCATGGCCAAACTTCGCCAGCCTCGTAGTCTGCGAAGGATCCGCAGGTCGCCTTCTACTTGGTCGATCCACCTTGCCCGCTGCGCGCCTCTTCTTGTTCCTGTTGGGTCGCTTTCGAGAACCATTTTCACTGGATCGTCGTGCGGTATTCTTACGACGTGCCCAGCCCACCGTAGTTGCCCAATTTTTGCAATGTGGACGATGGCTGGTTCTCCCAGCAGCTGGTGCAATTCGTGATTCATTCGCCTTCTCCACGTTCCGTCATCCATCTGCACTCCACCGTAGATGGTACGCAAGACCTTCCGTTCGAAAACACCAAGAGTGCGTTGGTCCTTCACGAGCATAGTCCAGGTCTCGTGGCCGTAAAGGACCACCGGTTTAATCAGCGTCTTGTAGACAGTCCTCCGGAGTACAAAATAGGCACGATTCCCTGCCAAAATGCGTCTTTGAATTTCTCTGCTGGTATCATTTTCGGCGGTCACCAGTGAGCCCAAATACACGAACTCATCGACCACCTCGATTTCGTCACCGTCAATCTGAACTCGGGGTGGGAGGCTAACATTGTCTTCCCTAGAACCTCTTGCTTTCATGTATTTTGTCTTTGATGCGTTGATGACAAGTCCAATCCGTCTAGCTTCAGCCTTCAGTCTGATGTACGTTTCCGCCATCATCTCAAAGTTCCGTGCCATAATGTCAATGTCATCGGCGAAACCAAGGAGCTGGATGGACTTCCTGAATATCGTGCCGCTCGTGTCTATCCCAGCTCTTCTGATCACACCTTCTAACGCGATGTTGAATAGCAGACACGAAAGTCCATCACATTGCCGTAACCCCTTTCGAGATTCAAAGGGACTCGAGAGTGTCCCCGATACTCGAACAACGAACATCACTCGATCCATCGTCGCCTTGACCAATCGCGTCAGTTTATCCGAAAATCCGTACTCGTGCATAATCTGCCATAGCTGATCTCGATCGATTGTGTCGTATGCGGATTTGAAATCGATGAACAAATGATGTGAGGGCACGTTGTATTCGCTGCATTTCTGCAGAACCTGCCGAATCGCGAAAATTTGGTCCGTGGTAGCGCGGGCACCCATGAATCCCACCTGGTATTGCCCCACGAACTCTCTTGCAAATGAAGACAGGCGGTGGCATAGAATTTGGGAGAGTACCTTGTAGGCGGCGCTCAGCAGTGTGATCGCGCGGTAGTTGCAGCAAACCAACTTGTCGCCCTTTTTGTAGATTTAACATACGACACCTTCCATCCACTCTTCCGGTGATTTCTCCATCTCCTCCTCCCAAATCTTGGCAATTACCCAGTGCAGCGCTCTAGCCAGTGCTTTACCACCGTATTTTAATAGCTCACTTGGTAGTTGATCTACACCAGTTGCTTTGTTGTTCTTCGGCCGACCGATCTCTTCCTCAACTTCTTGAAGATCAGGGGCCGGTAGCCTGTCGTCTTCTGCGTGTGCTCCAAGGTCTGTTGCCGTCTTCTTCTTCTTCTTATTATTATTCTTCTTCGCATTTCAAGCTTATTGCATATCGCATATTAGCTTATTGCGTACTCTCAACTTAGTGTTCTAGATGCACTTCCACAGTTATTAATTGAGAGCTTTCGATGCCTGTACCATTTTTGCACTGGTATAATTGTGTGGCAAGTCCAATCATACTTCTATGCCCAGAGAAGTCGAGAAATTTTCCTACTCGAAAAATTCCTAGACCAGATCGGGAATCGAACCCAGCCACCTCCAGCATGGTCTTGCTTTGTAGCTGCGCCTTTACCGACTGAGCTAAGGGAGGCCCCAGGTCTGTTGCCGTGCCACCTTCGTTTTCTGCTGCATCACCGTTGAGGTGCTCGTCATAGTACTGCTTCCACCTCTCAATCACCTCACACTTGTTCGTGAGAAGGTAATTACCGTTCAAGTCCTTGCACATATCGGCTTGCGGCACGTAGCCTTTGCGCGAACTATTTATCTTCTCGTAGAACTTCCATGTGTCGTTTACGCGGTACAGATTTTCCATCGCCTCGCGATCTCGATCTTCCTGCTGACGCTTCTTCCTTCGGAAAACCGAGTTTTGTCTGTTCCACGCTTGTCTGTATCGCTCCACATTCAATCTCGTGCGGTATTCTCTCGCGTGCTATTCAAACCTTGCTACCCCACACTTTCTATTCCAAAATGTCTAGGCATGGACTCTGCATGGGATACCTACCTTTTACCTGATGGGCGACGACTCGTTGAATTCAAATCTGCGCCGAACGAAGTAACCGTCTCCATTGGTCTCGGTCCTGAGCCAATCGCTTCCAGTCGCCTTGGACGTTCAAGGACCTAATGTCCTCCTCAACTGCACAAAGCCAACGCGTGCGTGGCCTACCCCGAAGCCGACGTCCTCTTCCGGGTTCCCTGCTGAATATTGACTTCGCTTGACACTCTTCCGGCATTCGTGCCACATGCCCATCCCACTGTAGCCTGCCGTGTTTTATAAGCTTCACAATATCCATGCCGTTATATACTTGGTACAACTCGTGATTCATGCGACGCCGCCAGATGCCATTTTCCAGTTTACTGCCGAGTATTGTTCGTAGCACTTTACGCTCGAAGACACCGAAAGCTCTCCGATCGGCCTCTTTCAATGCCCACGATTCGTGGCCATAAAGGGCTACCGGCAGAATCAACGTCTTGTACAGCGCGAATTTCGTTTTCGTACGCAAGCTGCGGGACTTCAGCTGGCTACGCAACCCGTAGAAAGCCCTGTTTGCGGCTGCAATACGCCTTTTCACCTCGCGGGTAACATCATTATCGCACGTCACTAAAGTACCAAGATAAACAAATTCGCCCACAACTTCAAATTTTTCGCCATGGGAACGATAGCCAAATTAGCTCTCTATTATTTTAAAATAGTCTTAATGCTTAAGGGGCCAAGCTTACCCTTAGTTCTCGTACTAGAAATAGCTAAGGTAGTTTCTTTTGAGTCCGCTTCTCTCTTACCCTTGACCCTAACTTTAGTTGAAAGATTCTATCATAAGATAGGATTAAATTGGTTTAGAGTCAAAAGAACCGTCAAAATCCTAGCATATCAATCAAGCAACGCCTATCTTGTTTTTACTAGCAGTGTTTCTAGAAACCGCCTCGGCATAGGTTGCCAAGTTGCTTGTGAAAGTTTGAAACGATTGACATATTTTACACCAACACTAATAACATTTTTTATCCTTCCCTTCCAGGGTTTACGAGAACGGCACTGAGACGATAATGTCCTACGAGAACGATGTACTGAAGTCAAAGACTGTAAACGGAGTCGCTCAAGCTATATCCAGTTATAACCACTAGGAACACAGCGCAGCTCTAGCTACCACTGCAAATTACTATAACTACTACTACTACTACTAGCACTACCTATTACATCAATTTTGTTCGTGTAGGAGAGAGTCACGCAGCCGAGGTCGAGCGGAGAGAAAGAACGCATAGCATTAATTATAAACCTTATACAAACTAGTAGATACTGGTGATTTACTACCTTACAACGTGTACTGCTGTAGAATTATCGCGGATCGTTGATTTTTTTAAAAATAATTTGTGTATAGTTTGATCAATTTGGACTAAACGACCCCAAAAGTCTGCCATGATACCAAATTTGCAGCAGCAGATGTTTGTGACATAACTGCTAGACGATTGCCCACAAACGCATAAACAATTCGCACTCACAAAATACACTCACGTCGTGAAAAAAACACTAGCAACACATTCACACAACAATTCACTCACTGCAACATCATACACATAAACAATCGAACTGAGCAAAATTAAATTGCTTATTAATCATTTGAACTCTGTAATATACTTGTGAAAGAAGCTTACTGAAAGATGCTGTCGTTTCATTGAAGAGATAAACAAAAAATATATCCCAAATAGCTTTAGAAACTATTCACTATTACTATGCACACTACCGGTAGAAGAGGACAAAGAAAAATGCTATTCGCCATTTACTAATAGACAGACCCGCCCCCCTCCCCCACATAAAAGTAGTCCCCGTGTGTCGGCATACGAAAATCGAAACAGTTCGGGTTTGTGAACTGGATTGAGAAGGGTATAATTTTTTCGAAAAAAAAATAACTATTTTTGTAAAAACGAAATCATCAAAATAAAAATCAAAACTGCTAAAATCAACATTAGGGTAAAGAATTCCAATCACCTAAGTTTTTTCTGTCCTCGGATTTCGGTTCGGTTCCATTTCATCGGACGACACAACAACGCTGCACAGCAAAACTGATTCAACTAGTATTGTGTTTTTTTTTCTTTGTGTACCATAAGTTTTACATTTATTTCTTAATGTAGAACAATTTACCTAACTGCGTTCCACAGCAAACGAAACTTTTGTTCATAATTGTAAAATATTATTGCAAAACAAAGCAAGATAAACAAAATAATAGCGCTTACGCGTGAGCATTGTGATGGTTCCAGGCCGAAGGTCGCATGCCTTGCAAAGGCACATGGGACAATCCGCTCGGGCTGCACCTAATAATCATTATTTGTGTACATTTGGACAAAGCCTTCCCCGCTCCGCGCTGGCGCACAACAACCTACGAGTTAAGGGCGCGCGCGTGTGTGAATGTTCTTCATTTTACGAATTACATTTTGATGATTTTGATTCCAAGGTCCGCGGGGAGGCCCCCGACTACTTGTCCATTTTGCCATTGGAGATCGTTAGTGTTACTCTTGTGCTTATTAAACTCCGAAGTTCGTTATATGTGGCTAACGCTATCCGAACGTCAGTGGGAGCAAAATGTGAAGTAGTTACATCAAATTAGTAATGTTAGTGTATAAGAGCACCATTTTCAGTTTTTTGTCTTCGTTTTGTTAGTTTAATTAATATTTTTTTTTTGTTTCGTGTAATTTCGATGGATCGACGAAGAAGAAGAAAGGCGGGAAAAGTGAGAGCGAGCTTTGTGGGGGAAAGCAACGCGAATCGATTCGCGTGTAGAAAAGTACGATGTTCATTTCATGTTAAGTAATAACCTAGCTATAATACTATACAAGATCGGAAAAGGATAAAAAACCAATACAAAAAAAAATACAGATACATTTTATCGTTGTAAGGATTAATAAAGTAACCGAATGGGGGAGAATAAAAAAGGAAGGAAAAACATGAAGCCGTATGAAAATGTATAATCAAATTTGAATAATGGTAATTTTTTTTGTAGCATAATAATCATTGGAGATGCAAAACCAGTAACACAGTGTAACAGCAAATATTAAGACAGATAGAAATTGAAACTAGCGAAAGCGGAAGCCGATTACAGAAAAAAAAGCGACAAGTACATAATTGTTACATGAAACAAATAAGTTGAAAGTGAACACTAATGGAAAGCAAGAGCGATAAAAAAAAGCAAACGTTTTAAACATTACAGATTTCTAAGCGGAAAATAGTAAATTTGACTGATGTATGGTTTTGGCCAAAACAGTATCCGAAGGCATTGATATAAGGCGGGCATTTTGCGGCGAATTGTGTGCATCCTTGATGGCTTGTTAAGTTATTTAACCTTTTTGTGTTCGACATTTTGTTTTGATTTTTCCCCGTGGGCATTGGTATAACCTTGAGGATTGCTTAACTGCAACCAGGTTCCAGGGCTTGTCTGTATCTTTACATTTTGAAGATGCACACTAGATGCCAGTTGTGTTGAATTTAACTGCAAACGAAGACAACAAATCAAGAAACCAGGCAACTCTTCCATTATCTCATACGAACGCTATGAGACCTGGGGGGGGGATGTGCTGTCAAATCAGCCTACTGATCATTCTTGTATGAAACTGGCTCCAAACGTAAACAATCGCTGTAGGTTTCTTATGGCTTGTTTACGTTTGGAACCAGTTATGCGAGGCATGCGAGGTAGGCGACGATTGTTCGTATTTGACAGCCACCTCCCCCCCTTGTATGAGACAGATACAATCGCGTCATCTGTCGCTCAAAGGTAAATGCTTCGAACGAATTTGATAGCAAAGATTACATCCTCAGATGGAAGGTTTGTGTATTTGTTAATTTTTCTATGCGTTGCTTCCACCTTTACTCAAGCGCAGCGCTATTGTATCTGTTGCTTGTCTTCGTGATATGGTGTCTTCGCTACAAACCAAAATTAAATAATTGTGTAGTTTAGAATTATGATTTTAACAATTATTGAGTCTAATGGCTGCAAAAATAAAAAGTTTTTTTTTATTATTGTTGGGTCTCAGAAGAGGAGATCCTATCGAAATCAACCCTATTTTGTCTCAACGGGAGCCGCGGAATGCCGAGGAGTTTCTTTGGCGAGCCGTGCAGATGGAGGCATATCCTGATGAAGTAATCGTGCTCGGAAGACAGCAGCATCAATCGAGTGCAGTAAGGTTGGAAAAAACTAGCCCGCTTCACAAATTATCACCCTTGGTCAATGATTTGGGAGTAACTAGACAGGAAGGGCGAATTGGTGCTGCCAACTACGCTTCCTTCGACGCTAGGTTCCCAATAGTGCTTCCACGGAACCATTACGTAACTGGACTCGTTTTGGATTGGTATCACCGTAAATAGGGGAACTAGGGGCAAGAAGGTCACCCGGGGCAAGAATGCCACCCTCAATATATTTTGAAAATGAAATCATTTCAATTTTATCTCACGATGAACCTATGCACAGTATTCCTATGAAGCATAATAAAAAGTTCTGTCCGAATCGAAGTCGTAAAAAAAATGCAAAAAATCATTTTGTGTTGATGCATTGAAAAGCTAGTTTTTTATAAGAATAAGGCATCATAAAATAAGGTTTTCGGAATTTCCAATTTATTTTTTTCACAATTACTGCATTGAGACATCACTATTGATGGTTGTTTGATACATTAATAACAATAAATTACTAAATATTTTGTTTAATTAATCAAAAATTATGTTCCTAAAAATAAACTTTATACGGGGCAAGAGTGCCACCCCTACATTTATGTATTAAACAAGGTTGCAAAGACTCATTTCAGCTAAAATAATGTTTTTCGGAATAATAAAACCAAAAGATGGTATGATGGCATGTTTTACTTGTAACTTACAAGAAGAGGTTACAAAGTATGCGTTGGAAACATAAAACCTGTAAATTTTGCTTTCTATGAGTCACAATCAGCGATTTGCTGATCGCTGAGTGAGTGAGTGAGTGAGTGAGTGAGTTTGTGAAAAATCGCTGATTGTGACACTCATGAAGTGAAATAAACAGGTTTAATATGTCAAACACATTCTTTGCAACCTCTTCTTGTATCCTACCAATTCAAAATTTGATCATGGCATCTAATTATTTCATAATTTATAAAAACATTCACCCCTATTCTGTATTTCGTTTCGAACGAAATTCTCATACAAAAAAATATTTTTTTGTATGAGAATTTCGTTCGAAACGAAATACAGAATAGGGGTGATTGTTTTAGCTGAAATGAGTCTTTGCAACCTTGGTATTAAATTGTACAAAAATGTTCAGAAATTAACACAATTGGGCATTTATGTTTCCAATATACATTGTTTTCGTGAAATTTTGGAAAACGAACTGTATAAAATAGTATCAAAAATAGTTTCCATTTGAATCTTTGACGCACATGGTTTATATGTTTTAGATATAATAAAATATATCATTAAGTCAATATTTTAGTGGAATAAACAATAAAAGCAGTTGCTGTCATACCAAAGAATAGTAATTTGTTGTTTAGAAATGAACATTTATCAGTTTCACTTCATTTTAGACATATGGTCTTTTTGCCCCATAAGAGTGGCCCTCTTGCCCCGTAGCATTTTTTAGAGCAGGTTCGACATGACATTTTGAAAAAATCATTAACATTTTTTGATGGGGTTTAATTTTAATTTCAATGATGATACATGGAGACAAGGTTATTAACTTACAATTCGATTCACAAACTCCTATAAATATTCACGGAATCACATATAAAAACGCGCTATCGTTAGGGTGACCTTATTGCCCCTAGTTCCCCTACGCACACTGCAACGTGGAGACTATTGTTAATGAGGTTCGGCAAAAATTCCACATTTCTAACTTGCGCACGGCAGTGCGCAAATAGATCCGAAAGTGCAACTGGTGTATCGTCTACAAGGCTACCCCACGGGCTCCGAGAATGGCGCCCCTTCCAGAGTCCAGGATGTCTTCGTACGTACGTCCTTTCTCCTTTACCGGAGTGGACTATTGCGGACCTTTCTACATCCGGATCGATCGTAGTAGAGTGAAGAGATGGGTAGCGCTCTTTGTGTGCCAAATCGTGAGAGCCATCCATTTAGAGGTCGCAAGCAGTCTGTCAACTGAATCCTGCAAAATCGCTGTGCGACAGTTCATCACAAGAAGAGGTGCTCCGCAGCAGATCTTCAGTGATCAAGGAACCAATTTTCATGGCGCTAGGAAGGAGTTGAAACAGGAGATTGCAGACATCAACCAGAAACTGACTGACACCTTTACCAACTGCAAGGCGCGGATTTCGTGAATTTCGCGGATTTCGCGATTTTCGCGGATTTGTCGCGGATTTGAACTTTCAGTCGCGAAAATCGCGGAAACATTAAATGATGTCGCGAAAATCGCGAAGGGACTGATGTGCTGTCACAAAAATTGTGGAATTCATTGTAACCTTTCCGTCCCGAATTATTTTGCTGTCATTAATTTTGTTGTTCATTTGGCTCTCAATTTTTTACCGGTTCAAACCAAAAACCCTACAAATAATCGAGAAATGATCTCAATTCCATAAGTCACACCGGATTTACACGGAAATTCCGTGAGGTCTGTCCAATGAGAGACATTTTCATGTTTTTATTTATTTCCAATATGAACACAGCATTTTTCGATGTCAAATCATAAACGAATCG